TCAGCCGTATTTTCTCCAAGCTTAGAATTACTCTAAACCCTAAACCCTAAATTCATTGAGGTAACCCAAAAAACACTGCATGTTAGAGCCTACCCTAAGTGCCAGGTATCTCCTCAGGAGGGTCCGAAATCTCGTGGGGAGAGTCCTTGGGTCTCTTCGGGGTATCAGAAACCCTACATTTTGAGGTTAACCCTAAACCCTAAACCCCTAAACCCTCAACCCCTAAATCCTAAACCCCTAAGCCCCTAAACCCTAGGACCCTGAAGGAGGGTTCTCTTGACTAACGGGGCCTCTGGGTCTGCTGTCGAACTGGGCTTAGGGTATTTTGGGGCTCTTTTGGGATTCTTTTGGGGGCTTTGGGGCTTTGGGTTCAAACCACCCTAAACACTAAACCTGAAACTCCTACATGCCTAAAGCCCTAGACCCTTAAACCCTAAACCCTAAACCCCTGAACCTTTGTGGGGTTTCCTTACATGGGTTAGGGTTTAGGGGTTTAGGGTTTAGGGGTTTGGGGTTTGGGGTACAGGCTTTAGGGGTTTAGGGGTTTAGGGTTTAGGGACATTGGCCTTGAGAAATAATACCCTAAAGTCGTTGTCTATGGCTTGTGGTACCCAGAAAACCCTAAATCCTAAACCTAAACCCTATAAACCCTACAGGACCCAAAGTACCATCATGGGAAGTACGTGGACCCTGCGGAATAGGGGATTGTCTTTAGCGCGAAAGCCTACGAATCCAGCCAGGTGTCATCTGCAGCACATCGGTAATCGGGAAGTCGACCTCGATTCAGGTGCTAAATTGTGCCCCAACCCTTGCACTTATAGGGTCTGTCTTGGCAGGAATTACGTTTTACGTCCAAGCCTGATCTGTGAGTAAGACGACATCCAGAGCTATGTTAAGGACAAAAAGGGAATGCCATGGATATTATCCGATCCCTTTATATTGTCCGCGGTTCGTGCTTAGGGGTGCCGCCGCTTTCACCATAGGCATCTTGTGTGTGACAGGCTCAGTTAAGATTGATATCTTTGCCATGTTGCACGCAGGACTGGGTTCTTGTTAAGGATTTAATTTATGTTATCCTAATGGTTCCCTTAACAAGAACCCAGATGAGGCTCTAGAGTATGGCTGGGATCCAAGAACCTGCTGCTTTAAGGGTTCTTCCCTAGGGACATAACCCCTACTGTTTTGTGGGGATTACTGGTCGGCTCCGGGGTTTTTGAGTTTAGGGTCTTTAAGGTTCAGGGTTCTGGGTTTGGGTGTTGGGTTTGGGTGCAGAAGTTACCTGGGACCCTAATTACCTACGGTATTTATGGGTTCTACCCATTAACTAACTAATTAATTAAGGGGCAAGGCTGCTAGTTGCTTAAACCCGTAATACCAAAACACACACTTCCTGCGCACAGTTCCCGCCCGGAGAGGCAGTCCAGCTGACCAACATGCATTTGCTAAATCCGAGGTCACGCTGAATGGTTTAGGGTTTAGGGTTATCAGTGCTTCGGAAAAGAAAACCTTCCTGTAGCATCGCGGCCTACAAATATCTCGGCTAAGACCCCTGAATTATAATGTAACCCTTAGAGCAGTAGGTTGTTGGATCCCCAAGATACACTGGGAGAGCACCAAGGGTTAGGGCCAAAATCAAAGAAGAAGGTTTCGGGTTAAGACGACACAGAAACTTACACTAAGGAGCCCTGAGAAGCCCTGTTCTAATGATTACCCATAGGCCCTTAAGTGGTTCCTTTTTGGGATTACCTTATAGGATTCTAAACATTGGGATTACCTTATAGGATTCTAAACATGAACCACAAAAAGGAACTACTTAGGGGCCTATGAGTAAGGCTCAAGGCTCCTACTTCGGACTGCCGCTTGGATCCCTCACCAGGCACCCTCAATTAAGGGATGGTGGATTTCCTGGAGCTAAACCCCAAACCCTAAATTACTAAACCTGAAACCCAAACCCTAAACAAAAACCCTAAACACCCTAAACACCCCCAAACACCCTAAAGACCCTAAAAGCCCTAAGCGCCAAAGCCTAGAACCCCAGATCCGAAACTGTAAACCCTTACCTGGCGATCCCAATGCCTGCTGTAAAGGTGGGAATGCCGAATAATTTCAGCCCCAAGGCTCGAAGGACTCCCACCTTGTTCATACCCCTAAGGTTTAGGGTTTTAGGGTTTATAGGCTCGAAGGACTCATATTTTAAGGCTTTTGGGCCCAAAGATAATACTACATAAGGCTTCTGGGCTATTTTGAGCCTAAGAGTAGGGGTCATAGGGCTTGGGGCTACAGGCAAAACTCGCAACTCTACCCTGAAAGCCCTATAAAACCGAACAAACCCTAAACCCTCTAAAGCCCCAAATCCTAAAGCCTATAAAGCCCTGAAGCCCTAAAGCCTGCAGTGCCGCATAATGCCAAGGCACATAACGCTTGAGCTGGCCATCGTAGTACTCCGTTCCCTTGATGATGACCTCGCGCATGGCACGACTACCCTCGTCAACTACTTTTAACTGTCTTGACAATTATCCCTCTCCCTTCGGAAAATGGTCAATTCAAGGTCAGGAGCCAGATTCAAGCATGGCTGAAATTAACAAGACTACAGCTTCATCAACAAACCATATTCAAGAACCAGTGTTAGCAAGACTATAAGCACCCTTGCTAAGCAAGAAACAACAAGCCATCTCGCACGTCCATCCGGATCGTGGGCAGGAAGTTGCTGTCTCTAGGGGGACCTACAGTGGCATAGCAACTCGTTCTGTCGGAAATGTAACGTTATTCCTTAGGGTTAGTTCTTAGGCTTATATTCCAGAAACCCATGTCCGGCTATCAAGGCTCCCCACATCCTGACATAAATCCGACAGAAAGTCCAGTCTTCGAAGGATAACAGAAATCCCTGACAGCCTATGGGCAATCACGGGAAGCTCGCAAACAGTAGCCAACGACCGAAACTTCGCACTCAAGAAACCTGGAACCATCAATCGTGAAGCCCATACCTAAACTGAAAGCACTGCCTAGACCCAAGAAAGGAGGTAATACCTTGTGTGTATAAGCTAGTGTGTAATGGTAAGAGACTTGAGCAACCAACAAAAAGTATTCTTCAATTTTCGGGCGTGTGGGTCAGCCGTAGCGCCTGATCCCCGAACAACCTATAAACCCCATAAACCCTAAAACCCTATATTATAAACCCTAAACCCTAAACCCTAATACCAAAATACGAAGCAAGGTTTCTATAATAGCAACGATTGCTATTGTTTGAGTAAGTATCCACCATATAATTATATGAGGGATATACTTACGCACACCATGATAGCAGGTCCTACTATAGACACCCAACGTTCTACCACGAACCCTAAACCCTCAAATGCTTAGGACGCTTTGGGTATCTCCGTGAGCCCGGCAAGATGCGCAGGGAAGTTCACACCCCAGGCGAGCGTTGATGTGGAAATCAGCACCTGGCACTGGTCCGGAATAGCGTGTTCAATTGCCTGTGCAGACACTGCAACACGATCCTTTAAGCTTACAAAGCCCTATTCTACCCCAAATTTGAAGTTCCCCCTCTTGAGAGCCCCGGCACCCGGCAAAACATGGCTGGTCTTCACAATGAATTAGACGACCAGGGTGCGTTAACGTAAAGCTATACTTAGAGCAACCCTGACGGATAGTATTGGTAATCCTGCCGGCTTCTATATTAAGCCCTGGAGCCCTGTTTCAACCCTGAACACTACACTGACCCCACAGAGTGTTGCAATCGCAAGCTTCACCCAGAGAGCCAAATACCAAATACTTCGCACACGCCGAATCCACCAAACATGCCTGAAACGAAGCCCCATGTAGTCTGACGTCGAATTCCATCACAACCCTCCGCGAGGAACCCGGAGATTAAGGGGTACAGCATGGTACAGATACGTATATACACTCCCATGTAGAACCTTGCTGAAACCCCCTTATAAGTCACCATCAGCAAAGCGTAGCCGGTCCCCTATAAATACCCTCGAACTTCGAACCACCCCAATCCTAAATCACCAAGCCCGAAACCCTAAAGCCTAGATGACTAAACCCCAACCCGATTCAGGAAACAATCATGCAAGGCCCCACAAACCCTTCTAAGATGCCTTGTCTTGTTCCGACAGACGAAACACAAATCAAAAAAAAAAAAAAACTCAACCCCGAACTCCTGTGCTTGGCGCACTCCGCGCGCCTAGGTTTTGATCGGCGCTTTACATCTTCAGAAACACCGGATGCCGATGTCAAAAATCAGCAATTGCCCATGCTTCAAGGCGAACACGCTACGATCTGGGGCATGTGGCCCTTCGGCACGCACTGCAATCGTCGCTATGAGCAAAACGTAGAACTCATAATTAGCTCATGCGTGCAAATGGGATTCTAGGGAGTGTCACGACGGAAAGTACGTGCGAAAAAAACAAGTCACCAAGCAACAGTATGTCTCGTGGCACGTGGCCCTTCGGCATGCGCCACGGTCTCAAATTTAATGCAAGACACGCTTCGCAATGCAAGTCTCTTTGAGAACGCCTTGGCCTTACAAACCCTGCGGAGTTTAGGGCTATTAGTGCTGCCTGGGACATGATCGACAGGTGAGGGATCTTAGGAAAAGTATCTCACAAGGCCGTCGGCACAGGTTCTTGCTGCATTGTTCGTGCCTTGCTTTGATCGACACTTAGCGAACACACTGTTTGCGCGTTGCAATGACCTGAGCGCTGCATGCTTCAATTTTTGCAATACCAAGTCTGCTCCAAAACTTCTTCATCATACTCTGTGGCGATCGAAATGATAAAGATTTGTGGCACATCATCCTGCCGGTTGTGTCCTTGCGGATTCTGTTCGGCAGATGCCGGGACATGCAATTCAAAACGAGACCATACCTTGTTAAGGACCAAATGAGCAATGAGCCTTAAGAGTACGTATACGCTTGTACTATGAATCTCTGCTGCAACCATAGTCCATGAACTTAAAACCCTTCCATGGTCCATTTCAAACGTCGCTCTGAATTCCTATTCTCGAGATATCGAGATTGAGTGAAACGTCGTCTTGCCCCAGGGCGGCTGAATTCCGCAGGCAGGATCTCTCAAAATCAGAGTGGGCGAGTTTGCTATCCGGCGTTGGAGCTGAGCTCCGGCCATAAATTTGTGGTTCTCGTTCGCCAGATATCGGGACGTATCTCTCAACTCCCTCTCCCGGGAGCCACGTGGAGACGTCCACCTCCCAGTACGTGTAGCCCTTCTTTTCCAGCCAGGCGACCTCGGCTTTCTGGGAGTTGCCGAGGCCCTCTGCGGTGGCCAGATACTGGCGCTCTGTCTCCGAGAGGGAGGCGAGGAACAGGCGCCGGGCTTCACGGCTGTGCTGGGAGGATCCGTCGCCACGCGGCTCCTGGGAGAGGTTGCCGAGACCTGCGTCCAGCGCCTGCTTGAATTCAGGAGACTCCTCGAAGTCGCATTGTTTCTTGTTGACCTTCTCCCTGTGGAGGTTGTCGTCGCCTGCCGTGTTGAAGCTCTCCACCTTGCCTTTGCCAACATGGTTCTGGAAGTAGTAAACTTCCAGCTCTGCTCCGGACTCCACGGCCGTCTCGATGTTCTGCCTCCACTTGGTAAACCACCTGCACCCCCAAGGCTTCTGTTCACCGTAGAGGGGCGTGCACCAGCAGGTGCCGGGCAAGCCTTCAGCTTCCGGGATGCTGTCGCACTGGCCGTAGTCGTCTGTGCCTTCAGGGAGGAAGACGACGGCTGCGCTGACTTGGCCGTTCCGGCCTTGCGACACGAGAGATTCCCATGCTCCCGCGTACTTCCCAGGCCAGCTGGCCACGCAGGGCCGCCCGCGTTCGCAGACGACTCTCCCCTCGAAGCGGATGGTCCGGTTGCTGATTTCGCGTTGGGCTTCCTCGCGCTCTTGTTCTAGGGTGGCCTTCTCCTCGTCATCGAGCCCAAAGTCGCCGCTCAAAAAATAGACAACAAAACCGCCGCCACAAAACAAGGGCACAGGCCAAAGGATGGCTGCAGTCCACGAGAATCCTTGCAGAGCGTGTTGGACCGTCATCAGCAGCAGCAAAGCCAGCGCGAGGAACCCCAGAAGACGGAAGCCAAAACGGGCCCGGACAGCGTACTTTCCCAAAAAAAAGTCATCATTTTCTCGTCGCCAGCTGAGACCAACGATCAGAGGACTAAAACAGCAGCACAACGGCAGCGTGGCGCTCGCTAACAGTGCAGCCGCCAGCGCACTTCCGGGCGGGATTGCAACGCAAATGATCAGGAGGACCAACGGAAAACAAGTCACAACTGCAAATTTCTGCAGTCTCTCCAATGCATCTGTGTTCCGCTTCTCAGCGGCGGCCTCCTGGATCATCTTCTCGGTCCGCATCTGGGCTTCTTTGCGTCGCTTGCCTTCGCGGGCCAGCTCCCGGGCCTCGGCTCGGTCGCGGCCTTTCGCCTCCCGGCTGAAAGCTTCGAAGTCCACGGAGGCCCATAATTCCTTTCTTCTATAACCCAGGACCGAAAAAAGTTCAAGCTGTCTAACAAGCTAGGCCAAGCATAGAAAGCAAAAAAGGTTAAAGCTAAAGCTCTCCCATTGGCAATCTAAGATACTGAGGAGCCATCGGTAACCTTGCAGCTGCCCTTCAATGCTGGATTTTCTCGCAACCGAATCTGCACGGAGGTGGCCACTACATCCGGCACTTCGACATCCCAAGACCTCTGGGGATACACCACCTGCCACTTCCCACTGCGAAGCTTGACTTCGATGGGGGTCTGCAAGTCGTTCCCCACGGAAACCACGGCCATGGCGTCGCTTCGGAAAGTGGGATACTGGCAATGGGAACCAAAACGGAAAACCTCATATTTTAAGGCCTTTGGGCCCCAAATTTGGGCTAGCAGTTGATGCTAAGGGTGATAGAAACCATGCAAATAATCATTAAGATCCTTAAAAGGTACCTTTAAAGGGAACCCTTTTTTCGTAGCCTTAAGGGCAAAAAAACCCAACCCCGGTCCATGGCCGTCGCTT